TTCCTAAGAAGCTGTTGGAAGATGTGTTCTGTTGAGATGAGGGAGTAAAGCAAGAATGATGAACCCACGAGAGCAGCGAGGAGACAAGGAATTCAACTTAGGAAAGAGATAGGCAATTCCCAGCACGACTAAGGTGAAAGCAAGGCCTAGGGATCAGCCCATCTGGTTGGTGCCAGGAGGGCTTACAGCTCCCAGTGGGGCTTAAGACTCAGTGGAGGAAAAGCAACACAAAGGAACAGAAAAATCTGACCATGGGTCTTCTGCTATGTGGACCATGTGGATAGGGATTACAGTTCTAATGGACAGTGTGGGGTGAAGTAGGGATAGGTATATAGAAAAAGAATCAAATGAAAAAAGTACTACTTTTTAGCACCAGAGTAAGAAAGAAATTGTTCTAGAAAGTAAATGTGATCAGCAGTGAATTACATGATACATGAATCTTGATGTATCCAAAGTGGTGTTATGAGTTTATTGGGAAAATGGAGAATAAAAAGTTTTGGGGAGTTAGAGATGTAGGAATTATTTGTATAATAGGAAGTCAGTATATAACATCTAAATTTTAATATGAAAAATCAAGAAATAATAGTTCTAAATGAATTACTGTGATAAGTACCAGAGTACTGATAATAATTGCTTCTGGGGAGCAAAATCATAAGTGGTGAGGATTAGTAAGAGAATTACTGTTTTGTTATAAGCCTTATAATTTGGGTTTTTAAGTTACCTATTGTTTAATTTTTTATTTTTAATCAATGTAGAGTTAATAAACCAAATGTTTACTTTGAGTGTTCATTTTATTAATCCAATACCCTTTATTATTATATCACTTATTCAATAGTTTTTGGTTCCTACTCATATAATTAATATTTGGCTTCCTTGGCCGTGATGAGAAAACATATTCTAAGAAACATGAGTCAGTCCTATGTTAGTCACCACATAGAATCTATATTAAGATTAAGTGAATATCTATAAATAATTCACAAATCACCGGTACAACCTGAAAGTTATAAAAGGGGAATGATAACCACGGCACAGAACTGAGCAGTTGGAGCAATGAGAGTGTATAGCCCTCCGACTGGCCTTCAGAGGCAGGATGGACCAAAAGTTGACCGCCTTCTCTTGTGAGTATCTGCTCTTGTCTCATGGCTTTGTAATATTAAAATTTGGCTGTATTATTACATTTTATCCATTTTTTATTTACTAATAGTGAAGTGAAATACCCATGTTATTCAATCAGATCATATGTGTGTAGTTTTATTTTCTGATAAATGTCAATTATTACGGTGTTATTAAATGTTATCAACTCATAATATTTTTCCTAGACTGCTCCTACTTCATTTTGTTAAAATTGAAATCACTCTTATTTACCTAACACTATTCATTATAGGTAAAGCTGGGTGAAATGTATTTTGAAATGTTGTTACTTACTTTTTACTTACTTCAAGTAATAAGTCTTTGAATCAACATAAACTAAATAGATATTTGAATATATATTTAAAAAGCTATTAATCTCAATGCTGGCTGGTGCTTTCTGCATCTATTTACATTTGAGGATAGATACTTGGGAGAGAAATAGATATTCAGGGGTGGGAGGAACTGTGTCTGGTATTTTTTAAATGCTTAAAAAATAATACTGGTTATTTGCACTATAAGTGTTTCTGAAAACAATTTATATTCTCAGAAACTTCCAAATGACTGTAGAATATACATATCCTAGCTTAACAGAAAAATTAAAGTCTGTCGAGATTTTCCATGGTTCAGAATTAAGACACTAGTTCTCCCCCGCCCCCCCCCAAAAAAAAGTCCTCAGATAATTCTATTAATGATGAAAGAAAACAGTTGGAGAGAGAACTCTAGGAAGAGGAGCCATGCGCATTTCCAGTATGTGAATTGGCAGTGATAATTATGAGCAAAAGCAAAGTTTATAAATTTGGAAACTCCTCCTAGAAAACTACACAAATGTCTTGCTTTAGAGGTCAAAACATGAGAGTCAAATTTATAAAGCATCCGATTTAGGTGGGAATTATTCATGCCATACAAGATTCAGAAGCCAGAGATTTTCTGCTTGAATAACTATTTTGGGAAATACATTTAGATGGGCATCTTTTCAGCAAGCAGGCTAAAAAGTAGTTTAAAGTGTTCAACACTTTCTTTTCTTACCTTCAGAAAGAAAATAGAATCTCCTGCAGCTATATGAATTGCCTGCTTGAATCATCTGTCTGTGAACTTAGAAGTATTCTCCGGCATTGTGCCCTTTCCCTATGTCAGTAGACACTCTTTATCTTTTATAGCCTGAAAACCCTGGAATATGATGATATGTGGAACAAATTTCTTAAGTTAGTACACCCTAGTTGCAAATGCTGTTATTCAGTAATTATTTCAGATTCACCTCATAATTTACATTATCATGTTAATAATGTAAATCCTGGATATTGATTTTAACCCCAAATCACTGTTTTTCATATTGGGAGAAACATGAGTGTGGGGAGGGAGTTGTGGAAGGCATCTTCCTGTTAGAAAGTAGATAGTGAAAGCTAAAATGTAAGAAACCAGTTACAGGAGTAGGAAACAGGTGGGAGAGTTGGGGCAGTGTACTACTGGTTTTGTTATAAGCTTTAAAAACTATTTATGTTCTTTTGATAAAAATAGAAGAAGTAACACAGAAATGTACAAAGTCTAAAAACTTGAATCTTTTCATCATAGATTTCTTGGTACAGCTACTGTGCTTTTGAGTTAAATATTTTACTTTAGCTTCTATATTTAAATATATTCTAATTAGAATAATATGGGTGTATCTTCTGCAGTTTGGTCCCAACAGATTGCTTCGAGCATTATATTTAAAATGACCCATATTTTTTGATATGTGTCGAACGTTTGAAATTTAATACAAGCTCCGGCTGAGTTTATTAGCTGCAGATTACTGGAAAAACATCAACAGCCACCAACCCTGACTTTTCTCTGTTTATTATTAAAAACATTTTTTTTGAAACATTTAATTCCTTCCCCCTCATCCCTGCATGGATATTGTTATCCCTCAAAAACTTTGGCGGCTAGTGATTTACCAAATAACATAATGAAGTCAGTACTAGATCCTGAAAATCTGATTGTATCAGTAGTCAGTACTCAAACAACTACTCCTAAGTAAACTCAGTTTCATTGTTAAGTGTGGTGATAATGTCCAGGAGAGGCTGTGTGTTTTGTGAGAGGAGTGGGGTTGATGTATTTGTCAGGGGACCTTTTCCTTTGTTGTATAGCCAGCTTAGGAAACATGAAGGAAAGAGTTTTTTGGAAAGATCTTTCTGGTGTGTTGGTACCCCTGGAAGGAACAAAGGATAGCACGCATGTGCTGTGATTTAGCTTTGTCTCTAACCAGAACTCGCCTATTTAGCCAGTCCAGAAAAAGTCCCAATTTGAAATTTCCAAATAATAGTAATTGTTACAGCCCACATTGAGTGTTCTTATGTTTCAAGTACTTCTTAAAGAGCTTTTTAGGTATTATTTCATTTAATCTTCCCCACAGTGCTATGAAATATATACGTGTAAATATGTATGTGTATAAGATAAAGATACCTTTTTTTTTTTGAGACAGGGTCTGTTATCACCCAGGCTGGGGTACAGGGGCAGGATCTCACCTGACTGCCACCTCTGTCCCCCATGTTTAAGTGGTTCTCCCACCTCAGCCTCCCAAGTAGCTGGGATTACAGGCACATACCACCATGCCTGGTTAATTTTTGTATTTTTAGTAGAGACAGGGTTTTACTATGTTGGCCAGGCTAGTCTCAAACTCCTGACCTCAAGTGATCCACCCTCCTCAGCCTCCCAAAATGCTGGGATTACAGGCATAAGCCACCGTGCCTGGCAAAGATAACTTTTTTTAGGGAAAGTTAATTGACACAACTTTTCCTAATGACAATTTGGAACTATGTGTCAAAAATCTTAAGAAATTAATACCTTTTTGCCTAGTAAAATTTGTGCCCTTATTGATCCTGTAGAAACAGAAAAAGATTTAAAGATGAAGATAAATGTTATTGCAGTATTGGTAATAGTATTAGGATAACTTAATATCTTACTATAGAGACTGCTTAGACTGTGGACAGCTAAACAATTGAATATTATGCACTCATGGAAAATACAGATACTGAACTAAATGCCTTAGGGTAACTCTGTGTGTGTGTGTGTGTGTGTGTGTGTGTGTGTGTGTGTCCCAGTCCGTGTGTCTGTCCATCCAGCCAGAGTTGTACACAGAGGCAGGTTCTCATCCTAGATATCCTCAATTTTACTAGCTTATGTCTCCTTCCTTTCTCCCTTCCTTCCCTTCTTTTTCTTCCTTCTTCCCTTCCTCCTTTCTTCTCTTTTATTGTTTTTGGAGATAAGGTCTCGTTCTGTTGCCTGGGCTGATGTGTGATGATGTAATCTTAGCTTACTGTAGCCTCAGACTCCTGGGCCCAAGGGATCCTTCTCCCTCAGCTTCCCAAGTAGCTGGGAATACAGGTGCACACTACCATGCCTGGCTGATTTTAAAATTTACTGTAGAGATAGGTCTTACTTCACTGCCCAGGCCCATCTTGAACTCTTGGTTTCAAGCACTCCTTCTACCTCAGCCTCCCAAAGTGCTAGGATTACAGGCTTGAGCCACCTCACCCAGACCAACTTTCACAATATATTAAGTGAGAGGAAAAAAAGCAGATTTCACAGTAGCAGGAAATTATTATATTTTATTTGGTTTTAAAGCTTTATGTGTGTATTTTTACATGAGGGAAAGTGTAGAGGTGTATAGGTGTGTGTGTGTGTGTCTATATATGTATATGTGTATAGATGTGTGTCTATATATGTGTATACATATCTATATAACATGTATAGATATAACATATATACATGTTATATAGATATGTATATCTATATATATATAACATATATACTTATATATAGTAGCTGATTGGGAGGGGGACTGAAGCCGGGAGCCAGACCAGGAGATTCCCGGGCGGAAAGGAGCCATGAATGTTAGCACTGCTGTTTCGGCCAGCGTGTAGCGGCACAGTTGCCGCACAGGAAATTGCATAGATCCCGGTGCCTTTTTGGTGGGCGACTGGGGCACCTGGTAGAGAATCTACCGTTCAATTAGGAAAAGAAAAAAAGAGGTCCCCTGAGGCAGGGAGCCAGGTGATCGGGCTGGGCTGCTCCCACCCCCACAAAAAAAACAGCAATTGGAAACGCTGACGGTTGAGAGTTTCACAGCAAGTACAGCTGAACCCAGAAGGTCCAGCTCTGTGGGGGAGGGGCGTCCACTGAAGGAAAACAAAGAAACAGAAATAACATCACCACCAACAAACTGGATGTCTGCTCAGAGACCCAATATGAAAGTCAGCAATTACAAAGACGACAGGTGGTAAATCCACAAAGATGGGAAGAAACCAGCGCAAAAAGGCTGAAAACATCCAAAATCAGAATGCCTCTCCTCCTTCAGGGGATCGTAACTCCTCATCAGCAAGGAAACAAGGCCTGATGGAGAACGAGTATGTTGAATTGTCAGAATCAGGCTTCAGAAGGTGGATAATAAGAAATTTCTGGAAGCTAAAAGAACATGTTCTAACCCAATGCAGAGCCTAAGAATCTTGAAAAAAGGTTTGACAAAATGCTAACGGGAATAGACAATTTAGAGAGGAATATAAGTGAATTAATGGAGCTGAAAAACACAACACGAGAACTTCGCGAAATATGCACAAGTTTTAACAGTCGAATTGATCAAGCAGAAGAAAGGATATCAGAAGTCAAAGACCCACTCAATGAAATAAAACGAGAAGACAAGATTAGAGAAAAAAGAATAAAAAGGAATGAGCAAAGTCTCCAAGAAATATGGGACTATGTGAAAAGACCTAATCTACGTTTGATAGGTGTACCTGAATATGACGGAGAGAATGAATCCAAGCTGGAAAATACTATTCAGGATATTATTCAGGAAAACTTTCCCAACCTAGCAAGGAGTGACAATATTCAACTCCAAGTAATACAGAGAACACCACAAAGATATTCCTCAAGAAGAGCGACCCCAAGGCACGTAATCGTCAGATTCCCCAGGGTTGAAATGAAGGAGAAAATGCTAAGGGCAGCCAGAGAGAAAGGTCAGGTTACCCATAAAGGGAAGCCTATCAGACTCACAGCAGCTCTCAGCAGAAACCCTATAAGCCAGAAGAGAGTGGGGGTCAATATTCGACATCCTTAAAGAAAAGAACTTGCAACCCAGAATTTTATATCCAGCCAAACTAAGCTTCACAAGCGAAGGAAAAAGAAAATCTTTTGTGAACAAGCAAGTACTTAGAGATTTCATCACCATCAGGCCTGCTTTACAAGAGCTTCTGAAAGAAGCACTACACATAGAAAGGAACAACCAGTATCAGCCTTTCCAAAAATATACCAAAAAGTAAAGAGCATCAGCATAATAAAGAATTTACATCAACTAATGGGCAAAATAGCCCCCAAGCATCAAATGACAATATTAAACTCACATATATTATTACTAATCCTAAATTTAAATCGACTAAATCCCCCAATCAAGAGACACAGATGGGTAGATTGGATGGAAAGCCAAAACCCATTGGTATGCTGCATCCAGACCCATCTCACATGCAAGGATACACAAAGACTCAAAGGGATGGAGGAAGATTTACCAACCAAATGGAGAGCAAAAATAAATAAATAAAAAGCAGAAGTTGCAATTTTTGCCTCTGATAAAATAGACTTTAAAACAACAAAGATCAATAGAGGCAAAGAAGGACATTACATAATGTTAAAAGGATCAATGCAACAAGAAGAGCTAAGGATCCTAAATATATACGCACCCAATACAGGAGCACCCAGATACATAAGACAAGTTCTTAATGACTTATAAAGAAACTTAGACTCCCACACAATAATAGTGGGAGACTTTAACATCACATTGTCAGTATTAGATCGACGAGACAGAAAATTAACAAGGATATCCAGGACTTGAACTCAGACCTGGAACAAGTAGACTTAATAAACATTTATAGAACTCTCCACCCCAAATACACAAAACATACATTCTTATCAGTACCACATCACACCTACTCTAAAAGTGACCACAAAATTGGAAGTAAATCACTCCTCGCAATCGCATAGCATTTCACAGGTTTAAATGAAATATTGGTTGGCTGCTTGTTATTTTCCTCCCTTATTCCTTCCTGTCTCCATTGTTAAGCACAATTATTGGCATAAAAGAGGTTTTCAATACCCATTTTTAGACTGCATTCTAGCCTGGGCAATAAAGCAGTACTCCCTTTCTCTCTCCCTCTTTCTCTTCCTCTTTCTCTTTCATTCTTTTTTTTCTTTTTCTTTTAATTCTTTCTCTCATTCTTTTTTTCTTCTTTCTTTCTTCTTCTTCTTTCCTCTCTTTTTAAAAAAAAGAAAAAGAAATCAGGAAGAAGAGTCATGTCACCTGGGTGGTTGGCCAGGGATATGTTACATTCCTGATCTGAAAGGAGGGCACAGGCAGCAGAGTCACAGCATGTGGGTGCTGTGCCCAGTGATAATGTCACAGTGACTCCTGTGAGCAAGACCCAGGGGAAAATAAAACACACCACCCTGTTGCTGAGCCAAATGTTATGTCACAATCTTTCCTGTGGGCAGGATGCAGGCAGCAGAAGAGAGTCACATCTCCTAGATGATGAATGCAGAGGGATGTCAGGAGGCTCCTAAGAATGGTAGGCTAACGCCCTGTTTACAGGCATAGACAGGTACCTCCAATCTTCTAGGTATTTGGTCTAGTGATATGTCACAGTACTCAAAATATGTGGGGCCTATGCAAAATAGTCACATTACCTAGGTGCTAGGTCCAGGGAGATGTCATCATCCCACATTTTGGCATGGGCCTGGCAGAGAAGAAGGACACATCACCTAAACAAAACAAACAAACAAAAAATATGTATATATATGTATATGTTATATATATATGTATATGCCTATGTATATACATTATATACATATGTGTTTATATATACATCTATGTGTTATATAGATGTATATGTATGTATATACACATATAGAGAGAGAGAGACATACACACCCAAAATGTTGCCTCTGGGTATGAGATTTCAAATCATTTAAAGTTTATTTCTTCTTTCTTGTCTCTTTTTCATTCAGCACATTTTTTTTGCTGTTGCTTTTGAGAAGGAGTCTTGCTCTGTCACCCAGGCTGGAGTGCAGTGGCGTGATCTCCGCTCACTGCAGCCTCTGCCTCCTAGGTTCAAGAGATTCTCCTGCCTCAGCCTCCCAAGTAGCTGGGATTACAGGTGCACACTACCATGCCTGACTAATTTTTTATATTTTTGGTACAGATGGTGTTTCACCATTTGGCCAGGCTGGTCTTGAACTCCTGATCTCAAGAGATCGACCTGCCTCAGCCTCCCAAAGTGCTGGGATTACAGGTGTGAGCCACCACACCCTGCCTGTTCAGTAAACGTTTATTGAACTATTGCTGTAGCCAGCCATTGTATTTTCTGAAATGATAATTACTATTTGTACAATTAAATTTGATGTTAGGAAGGATATTACAACTTTACAAAGTTTTTCATTAAATGATTAAAATAATGACTTGGTCATTAAAGTATGTTGAGTTATTTGGAAAAGTCATTTGCTTGCAACAGTACTCATGAAAAGTACAGAATAAAATTAAATGTTAGTGTAATATGCGGAAGCATTCAGCCCCTGTGATGTCAATAGGAAAAATGTTTTTTATTTGTATGAAACGTAAGTCATCTCTATCCAAGGTGGCCATTACGTGGGAAGAGAGATGTTGATTGGATGCTCTACATTGCTTTTATTTGACTTAGAAATAATTTACATAGCTGAAAAGAATTACTTTTTCATGATGATTATCTATAGATGCATGTTTTTACCTTTTTTTTTTTTTTTCAGACAACTACAAGAACAGCAACGACAAAAGGAGCTGGAGCGGGAAAGGCTGGAGAGAGAAAGAATGGAAAGAGAGAGGTTGGAGAGAGAGAGGTTAGAAAGGGAAAGGCTGGAGAGGGAGCGACTGGAACAGGAACAGCTAGAGAGAGAGAGACAAGAACGGGAACGGCAGGAACGCCTGGAGCGGCAGGAACGCCTGGATCGGGAGAGGCAAGAAAGACAAGAACGAGAGAGGCTGGAGAGACTGGAACGGGAGAGGCAAGAAAGGGAGCGACAAGAACAGTTAGAAAGGGAACAGCTGGAATGGGAGAGAGAGCGCAGAATATCAAATGCTGGTAAGAAGTTTACAAACCCTTCTGTGTTCTTGTATCTGAGCTTGGATGATGTCTCTTGTGCAGTCATGTGTTAAAATATTTCACATTTGAGATGCTTGGGATTAAGCCATACAATTTGAAATTATGAAAAAAGTACAGCAATTACTGCTTTAACATTTTATTTTTGTTTCTATATTGCTTTTATTGCTTGGAGACTTAAAGAAAGCTCTTGGAAATTTTTATTCTGCCATTCTAATTATTCTAACTCCCTATAAATTGGCCATAAAGTGTAAGTGTGTTTTTATGGGAAATTTTATACTGGATGAACTTCAAATATATTTCCCATATGAGATCACATAAATTGTCTCAAATACTATAGGCTCTAGTAGCATTCAGCAAGAAATTTCCTTGATTGCATTCTAAAGTTTTTGAAGGAAGAATTAGTAAGTGAAAAATATTCTCTAAAACTGACCAGTTAATTTAAGTATGCTTTCTAGTATTATGAAAAATTAGTGAAAATTATGAAATCTGATGTTACTGAAAGACAAAAGGGTTAAGATATGGCTGAAAGTTTGAGATATTTTAACATTTATTAAAATTAACATTCATTATAGGATTTAAGAATATTCCTTATGGCCTATATAAAAAGTCTCAATGTGGGTTAATTAAATAGTGGTTTGTTGGTTTATTGTTTAAGTTAATTTATATATTTTTAGCTACCAAATTATTTTCTGGAGTGATGGCCAACAAAACAAAACTTCCCCACAAATAAGCATCCAATAGGAGGTTTCTCACACTTTGTATTAAATGTTTTGCCAGTTTTACTAGTTTTGCTATTTGTTGTTTCAAAAAAAACTAAATTTATTCTTCTGTTTATGGTCCTATTCATGTGATTTTAATGTTCTTTTTCTTGTGGACTAAATATTAAAAATTAAGACTAATACTAGCTTTTTCTCATAAAGGATAAATAGTCAATTAAATTTATTAATCCACTTATTAGATAAAAAGGAAACTTATCCTCATCTGAATCTCAAAATGTATTTACAAGTTAAAATATTCTTTGGTGAAGATAGTTATTTGCATTTGTGCCTAATTCTCTGGTACTAACTGTAGTCTACATTTATACATTGTGTCTGAATGCTGGTTTTGTGGCTTCACTAGCTCCCTTTTTCTCTCTCCTTTTTTATCCTGTCTTTTGCTGCTGCTTTCCACCTTCTGTCCAGCTCCATCTTCAGACAGCTCCCTGTATAATGCTCCACTTCCTGAGTATTCCAGTTGCCAGCCTCCTTCAGCACCTCCTCCATCATACGCTAAAGTCATCTCAGCTCCAGTGTCAGATGCCACTCCTGATTATGCTGTAGTGACTGCTTTGCCACCTACTTCCACACCCCCTACACCACCACTGCGACACTCAGCGACACGTTTTGCAACATCTTTAGGTTCAGCCTTCCACCCTGTTCTTCCCCATTACGCTACAGCTCCTCGTCCTCTGAACAAAAACTCTCGACCTTCTTCTCCTGTGAACACACCCTCTTCTCAGCCTCCAGCTACGAAGCCCTGTGCCTGGTCTACTTCCAATTTTTCGCCCCTCCCTCCATCTCCTCCAATAATGATTAGCAGCCCCCCAGGCAAAGCTACTGGTCCAAGGCCTGTCCTCCCTGTTTGTGTTTCTTCTCCTGTGCCCCAAATGCCTCCATCACCGACAGCACCCAATGGGCTGGTTGACTCTGTAACATATCCAGTGTCTCCACCGCCTACCTCAGGGCCAGCAGCTCCTCCGCCGCCGCCTCCACTGCCTTCCCTCGCATCACTGTCACACTGTGGATCTCAAGCTTCTCCTCCTCCAAGCACCCCTATTGCCTCAACTCCCTCATCCAAGCCTAGTGTTCTCCCTTCTCCCTCTGCAGCTGCCCCTGCCTCTGTTGAGACTCCTCTAAACTCTGTGCTGGGAGACTCTTCTGCTTCTGAGCCAGGCTTGCAGGCAGCCTCTCAGCAGGCCGAGACTCCAGCCCAACAGGGTAAGGCTTTCATTATTGCTACTAACAGCAAATCACTTGAAAATGTTATCTAGCAGCAACTTTAATTGCCTGAATGGATGAGTAGGAAGTTTTTGATCCTTGAACATTTATATGCCATAATGCCATGGGTTTTTTTTTTTTTTTAATTTAAAAAATTAAAGTAGAAAAGAAATTATTTTCCTGTTGGATTAATTGCATTTGGAGGAATTTTCATATTGAACTACGTTTTGATATCTTTTGTAGTATTACAGTTAAAGATGTTTTCTAGTATTTAAGAGCCCTCATAATACGTTTCTTTCTTTATTTTGAGACAGAGTCTTGCTGTGTTGCCCAGGCTGGAGTACAGGAGCTTAATCTCAGCTTACTGCAACCTCCACCTCCCGGTTTCCAGCGATTCTCCTGCCTTAGACAGCCAAGTAGCTGGGGTTATAGGCACATGCCACCACACCCGGCTAATTGTATTTTTAGTACAGATGGGGTTTTGCCATGTTGGCTAGGCTGATCTTGAACTCCTGACCTCATGTAATCTGCCCCAGTTGGCCTCCCAAAGTGTTGGGATTATAGGTGTGAGCCACCAGCCAATACATTTCTTTCACTGGGAAAACTTCGCTTGACACATTAATCTACCACACAATACATACATGATCTAAATTGTCTTCTTTTATTTTCTGGGAGACTTAGATATATTTAGTGCCTGTAGATATATTTAATGGCTGTAGTCATTAGATACATCATCCCAGAGTTTCCTTTGGAGCAGTTCTGATCTTGGGCCCTAGTTCGTTCTTGCCTTTCCTATATTAGATTCCCCATGTTGGACTTTTTCAGGGTAGGTGTCACCCTAATCCTTGGATCATTATGACTTTGCAGGAGGAGTAGAGAGGATTGCAGGCTTCATATATGTCCTATAGGGTTCCAAGGTCCAAAATTACAATAAGAAGTGGCCTGAAGGGGTAATGAGGAGAGAATAGCATCCTCTGCAGTTATTCTCCCCACCCCTACCTGTTTTTATGGTAACAGGGAAGGGAGGATGTAATCTCTAAGTGGATTATTTGTAAGTAGAAAAGGACCTGGTTCTGTAAGTAAATAAGATGCTTGGCAACCCTAGTTTTTAAAAATATGATTTAAGGAGGATTGCAGAAAGAAAGCTGAAAACAAATTTGTACTTAAAGAAACATCGCAAGGCTTGTTATTGCTGTATATATATTTTTGTTGTCATTGTTGACTTATCAAATTTGCTTAAAAGGTGAATCAGAATTCTAAAATGTCCAATTTGGTTTCACTGTGACAAAAAATGGGCACAGCCAGCTGACAAAGTGACCTGCTGTACCCTCAGAACTCTAATAACCCCTACAGAAGGGACAGGCTATTTCTAGATGCTTCTTTGAACAATTGATATTTTCTGCTTGTGCAAAGGCTCAAGCTGAAAAAGTTAGTATTTACCACCAGTATGCAAAATAGCATTTTATTCATTCTGAAAACACCCTTTTTAAACCTTAACAAAAGGAGCACCTACTATTTCAGTATTCTGTTATTAAATAAATTCTTGTTCACTCTGTGATTTTATGAGAATTGAACATTTCTCTTCTTGCTCCCTATTTTGTGGGATAAAACAACTCTGTACTTCAAATTCTATGGTATTTAATTATTTCTGAATATTATTTTGAGGTTTTACTTTGTGCTAGTAAACTCCTTTACTTCAGTGCTTCTCAACCTTGCCTATGCATTAAATTTAAATGCGAAGTTTTTAAAAAAAAAAATACTGCAGCCTGGGATTTACTACTCCTTCATGTTTTTAATCCAGCCACTTTAAGTGTAAACAACTAAATATATGTGTTCACTATTACTGAATTTACTGTCTCAACACTTAAGGTTAATGTGGATTATTTTGGGTCTGTTATTTCAAGTAGTACTAACTGCCATCATATATACTAGTTTGTTTTTTCAGGGATGCTTAACTCCCAAATTTTATAAGTATTTATTTTGTTTATATACCACAACCCCATGAAAAAAAAAATCTTAATTAGACATCTATTGCATCATTCTATTACTAAAGCTCTAATATTAAAGTAGTTATGTACACTTGGATCTTCCTTACATTTCAGTATCTTTCAAAAACTGATCTAGACTTACACAACTATGATAAATTGAATTCATTAAGTAAATACATGTGTCAGTTTAATTTAGCATGGGACTCTCTGTACCTTCCCACATAAAATAATTTCACCCAGCTGTATTTTTGATAGTCTGACTTTGCATTTTTCTCTCTCAGGCCTTGTCTTGGGACCACTTGCACCTCCACCTCCTCCACCACTCCTACCAGGGCCTGCACAGGCTTCAGTAGCACTCCCTCCTCCCCCAGGGCCCCCTCCACCTCCTCCACTCCCATCCACTGGGCCTCCACCACCCCCTCCTCCCCCTCCTCTCCCTAATCAAGTACCCCCTCCTCCTCCACCGCCTCCTGCCCCTCCCCTCCCTGCATCTGGATTCTTTTCGGGATCCATGTCAGAAGACAATCGCCCATTAACTGGACTTGCAGCTGCAATTGCCGGAGCAAAACTTAGGAAAGTGTCACGGGTAAATACATTTCTGAAGTTTTTTTTATTTTTTAATGTCTTATTCTTTCTAAATATCTAAAATACAGACTTTATTGTATTCTAATTTTATGAATTGTTAGGAACTTCATCGATTTAAAAAATGGAAATAATTTACCCAGGTGTGGTGTCTCACACTTGTATAGTCCCTGAATTCTGGGAGGCTGAGGTGAGCAGATCACCTGAGGTCAGGAGTTCAAGACCAGGCTGGCCAACATGGTGAAACTCTGTCTCACTAAAAATACAAAAATTAGCCAGGTATGGTGGTGCATGCCTATAATCCCAGCTGCTCTGGAGACTGAGGCAGGAGAATCACTTGAACCTGGGAGGTAGAAGTTGCAGTGATCTGAGATCCTGCCATTGCACTCCAGTCTGAATAACAGAATGAGACATCATCTCAAAAAATAAATTAAAAACTGAAATAATTTAAATTTATAGTGAAGTTGCAAGAATAATATAAATAACTTCTATAATATCATCACCTAGATTTACCCATTAACATTTTACCAGTATTTGCTTTATTATTCCTTCTTTGGCTATGCTTCCTTCATTACACATGCTCTTTATTTGTTTGTTTGTTTTTGAGATGCAGTTTCACTCTTGTTGCCCAGGCTGGAGTGCAGTGGCACTATCTCAGCTCACTGAAACCTCTACCTCCTGGGCTCTAGTGATTCTGCCTCAGCCTCCTTAATAGCTGGGATTACAGGCGCCTACTACCATGCCCGGCTAATTATTGTAGTTTTAGTAGAGATGGGGTTTCCGCAGTGTTGATCAGGCTGGTCTTGAAATCCTGACCTCACGTGATCCTCCTGCCTCAGCCTCCCAAAGTGCTGGGATTGCAGGTATGAGCCACTGCATCCTGTCTACACGTGCAGTTTTGTCTGAATGATTTTAGAGTAACTCAGAGACATCAGGCTTCTATTTTCTTTCTTTTTTTTCGAGATGGAGTCTTGCTCTGTTCCCCAGGCTGGAGTGCGGTGGCGCAATCTTGGCTCACTGCAACCTCCACCCCCTGGGTTCAAGCAATTCTCCTGCCTCAGCCTCCCAAGCAGCTGGGACTACAGGCGCACACCACCACACCCAGCTAATTTTTTGTATTTTTTTAGTACAGACAGGGTTTCACCATATTGGCCAGGCTGGTCTCAAACTGCTGACCTTGTGATCCACTTGCCTCGACCTCACAAAGTGCTGAGATTAAAGGCATGAGCCACCACGCCCAGCCCAGGCTTCTATTTTCTAAGTACCTCAGTGTGAATTTTATAAGAACAAGAACATTTATTTACCTGCATAACTGGTAGTATAATTATCAAAATCAGGAAAGTTAACATTGGTAAAATACTGTAATCTACAAATGTGTCAATATTTAAATTTCATCTATAGTCCCATGATGTCTTTAGTGACAAATCTTTTCCTAGTGCAAGATCATTTATTGCATTTAGTTATAATGTCTCTTGGATGTGCTTTATGACAATTTCTCAATCTTCCATAATACTGGCATTTTTGAAGACTGTAGGACAGTTATTTTGCCTGTTATCCTTCAGTTTGGCTTATCTGATTTTTCTTCAAGATTAGATTCAAGTTATGCAGGGATTGTTTTATCAGGAATATTATCAAAGTAAAGTACTGCCCTTTTTAGGGCAACACAGGAGGAGACACATGATATTGTTTAATTGAATTCTCGGTGATACTAGTTTTGATAAACTCTTGTTAATATATAAAGTCAATGATATATAAAGAATCAATTGGTTCTTAAGGCTTAAAAAATAATATTTAGGTTTTAAAAATTAATGCTGATGTTTCCTTCTGTTTTAAATGTAGTGTATTAATAAAAATATGGTTGCCTAACATAGGAATTGATTATTTCTGCATATTCTCATTAAGATGGAGGATGCCTCTTTCCCAAGTGGAGGGAATGCTGTTGGTGTGAACTCAGCCTCATCTAAAACCGATACCGGCCGTGGAAATGGACCCCTTCCTTTAGGGGGTAGTGGTTTAATGGAAGAAATGAGTGCCCTGCTGGCCAGGAGGTAAGGAATTTCATTACAGTGGACATGCCCAGGATTGAGAGAATTTTAATTTTATTCCCAATATAACTGACTAGATGCAGTTCTTCCCTCGTAGTGAAGTCTTTTTTATACTGCGTCAGATGATATTTTTAAAAATTGGATTTGCCTTCTTTGTAGGAGAAGAATTGCTGAAAAGGGATCAACAATAGAAACAGAACAAAAAGAGGACAAAGGTGTAAGTTAATACAGTCTACCACACCTTAAAATGTGGGGTTCAAGCACAGCTCATTCAGGAAATGGTGTTAGTGTTTATTTAATTTGGACTTAATTAGTTTGAACTTATATTTGCTAATCTTTATGCATGTGAAGTGGCTTATTTTGACCGTTATTTATAGATTTTTAATGGCAGTTTTAGTAAAATGAGTTGAATATGTGGAGTTGTGGGAAAAGCACTGAAGTTCAAACCTGTAGAGTTTAATTCTGTTCCTTAAATGAGTGAATAACATTTCACTACATTTTTTTTTAATCTCTTAGAATCTCAGTTCCCTTGCATTAATTTAAAATGAAGGAATTAGCCTAAATTAGTATTTTCCCTTAGTAGTTCAATGGTTATTGGCTGTGCCCCTTTAAGAGTGTGGTCTTCATGCCCTCCTCCCTGATTGAGCTGGGCAAACTCTGCTTTGTCTGTGCTGTATATTGGTGGGCAGCAAATACGTTTCCCCTGCTCCATTTGGCCACCTTTGTTGCCATTCCTCAGATCTGTCTCTTGTGTCTGTCTGGCTTTGGAGCCTTGGCCTAGTGCAAGTAAGAAGTGAGAACACACGAGGAAAGGAGCTGTGCGGAGGGCCAAAGGGGAAGTGGCTGAAGGCAGGAGAAGAAAGAAGTCTAAGATGAAAAGAAAGGGAGAGAAGACCGATGAAAGAGAAAGTGGGGAGTGGCAGAAAGAATATTAGAAGTGGATGTGTAACACACTAAATGTATATATAGAGCAAGTTACTAGTAGATGCGATGCTAATATATATCTGTATATTTAGGAAGATTCAGAGCCTGTAACTTCTAAAGTCTCTTCAACAAGTACACCTGGTAAGTTCAAGATAAATATGTTAACCTTTATAAATTTTCTCTAAATATTAATACTCCCCAGTTAAAAATTCCCCCTCTGTCCATATTTGAACCAAGTGACTGGACACTAAAATGGCAGAGTTTTTTGTTTACACCCAAAAGCATTAACTTTTTTACTCCTGGAAGCTGCTGTTACTTTCTTGAGGTTACTTACTAAAACAAGGAAAATATTAGTATACTATTAGATTACAGGGAAGTAGTTTTCATAATTGATTCCTAAAGGTAAAAATTAAGTGAGCGTTTTAGCTAGTACTGCCATTTGTTTCCAAACATTCTCAAATTGAGAAGGGTGTCATTCTAGCCATTCATTGGGGTGATATTGATAATTAAGGGAATAAAATTTCTGATTTGTAAGCTTAAAAGAATCTCTTTAAATTTTTTGGGAAGTGTTCTTGAATTCATTGAAATTTCTGACGTTGAGTATTCTTGAGCATCCAGTAAATTACCTAGAATATTAACAAAGTGTATTTCACTAGAGGTATTTGATGAGTATTGTATCCAAGATGAGAATATGAACTCATTACATAGTCACATATCGTTTCTTCATATTTGATTAAAGACTAAGGGCTGGACTATCTATTTAGCTCCTTATCTATTCTGGAATGATGTGACAAATAAACTTGATAAGTTAATATCTAGAATGGTCCATAGGAAACCATTATTGAGAAATGCTCATATTCCTACAGTTTTTATTTAAAGACAACCAGCTGCATCTACAATTCCCTTTTTAATTTTTATTTATTTGAGAGATGGGGTCTCACTCTGTTGCCCAGGCTGGAGTGCCATGGCACAATCTTGGCTCACTGCAACCTTCACCTCCTAGGCTAAAGTGATCCTCCCACCTTACCCCACCAGCCCCCAAGTAGCTTGTTTTTGTTTATGTAATCTATCTTCCCACCCCTCAATTCCTCATTCTCATAATTGAACAGTGACTCTTCAGTAGCCTGATTGCTGTATCAGTTAACATCATGACTTTTTTTTCCTTCTGAATAAGACTCAGTTTATGTTATTTTCATTAAAAGTTCCCTGGTTTGCGAGTCACTTATTTTAGCTTTATCCTCCTTTGTATAAGCCAGAATTAATTATATATGCTGTCATTAGTAGCACGTAGATACTATAAATCCAATCTATACTTCAGGGTCACAGAACCTTTAGAGCTATAGATCCTCTTTCCAGCGAGGAAAATTGTATTTTTACACAAATTTATTCATAATTTCAGAATATTCATGAATTTCTTAAAGGTTATTCATGGACTCCAAATTAAAAATTTCTTATCTAATATATAATCCCTTACACAAATTTGTTCATAATTTCAGAATATTCATGAATTTCTTAAAGGTTATCCATGGACTTTAAATTAAAAATTTCTTATCTAATATATAATTCCTTATAAAATATGAAAAACTAAAGCACAGGATTTTTGTGTGCACCATATATATAAAATCAAGTATTAATTTGAAAGGGCAAGGCCTCTTTTGTCACTTGTTTCATTCTGTTTTTAAATTGACACTGTGTCGACACCTGAAGTGAAAGGTGAAGTTCTGAGTGCAAAAAACTCATCGTCCAACTGGGAAGATGAGACACACGGGTGTAAAGTTTACCTTTACAGCCACATGTTGAATACTCAGTAGTTTGTCAAAGACGGAGGAGATGACATAGTAGTCACTTGAGTCATCTTTGTAGAGAAAAGTGACATGTTAGTATGGCTTGAAGAGTATTTAGTTTGACCGAAAGTGAGGGAAGGTGTGATATTTCAGATTGTAAGTATAGCATGAGCAAAGGTATGGAGTTAGAGATGAGCAAGAAGAGATTAGGAAGTAATGAATAGACTAGAACGGGGAATTCTTTTTCAGGAGTATTGGGGGGAAAGGTTGGAAATATAAGTTAGAAACAAAAATGTTGAGAGCCTTTTATAAAATGATCAAGAGTTTAGACTTTATCCTGCAAGTATTGAGTTGACATTTAATTCACTCAATTATGTGCCTGAAACTGTTTGAGGCACATTAAAATAGCACTTATGGTTTTCCCATTGAAACTAGGGAGGACTGAGATAGGCAGACCAATTAGGAAGCTCTGTACACGTGCCAGTAAAGATCCTCTGAAGGGAACCCAGCCCCCACCCCTCCTGAAACACACCTGAGCTCCTTAGAGAGCAGAGGGCCTTGCTTCTCAGCGTCCACAAAGCCAGCTGAACAGCTCTTCCTCACAACCAGATGAGCACTTTTAAGACTAAAAGATGGTTCTGGTTTGCTGATTGAGAAAGGACCTCAGTCAGCTGTTAAAAGGTGGCACTTGCTGCATCTTCTCCACTTTGGAATTACTCCCTCATCCTTCCACCTGCTTCCTCTTGAGTGACAGTACCTGATGGCCATTCCCCCTCCCTGTCCAGGTGTCCCTCAGTTTCCGTCAGGACTTCCCTCTTTTCACCTGCTTGGGCTAGTGTCAGTTAGATGTTTCTGATTCTGTCTGTCCCAAATCCCAACCAATTATTTGATCTTCCCGGCCAAGTATGGAACTTGGCACCACTGTGGTGGTCATTGAGAGATTGTGTTAGCTGTTAGCATACAAAAGAAGGAATATAAAAAGGAAAGAATTTGCCTGTTTGATAAGGAGTAAAGCAAGATCAATAATGACTTTGAGATTTCACACCTAATGCCTGCATGCAACAGAAATCCAGAATCAAAAGTAGGGCTTCATGGAAGAGTGTTTATTTTTGCATAAGTGTACTTTGAAGAGACCATAAACTACCTAAGTGAGAATGTGCAAAAGCCAGTTTGAGGAGCTGCATTGGAACTCAGAGCAGTTTAAGTTAAAACTATACAGTGAGACCACAACTCATAAATAGACTTCATTCTCATGTGGCCCAAATTCTTCCCTCCATGACAAGATTCCGCTTCTGATTTTACCCAGATAGTGAGGTCAATGACAGCATCAGTGAGTCAGCCCAGATAGAAAAACAATTCAAACACAATAGACAGTCAACTAGTGAGTCACTCACTACACAGCGTCTTTTATAATAAGAGCTTAGAGCAGACTTGTTTATATTTAACTGGAATTATCTGCTAAGTCCCAAGAATCGATTGTTTAAGAGTCAAGGAAGTGCAATAGAATTTCAGGATTCTGAAATTTATTTTGAGTTGTTCTTTTTTTTTTCCCAAGAGGCACTATTTGAATTTAGATTAAATGTTGAAATACATGAACATATTATAAATTACACTTAACTGTTTTTATCATTGGTACTAAAAACAGTTTAAATTAAAATAGTGTCAGTAATACTATCCCATTTTAATTGAACAGTCCTAATTTAAAAATTATCCTACTTTATTCTTACTATTCTTTCTTAGGGAAACTCCTTACCATTCAGTTTATAGAATTATAACATTTTAGACTTAACAATGTAAGTTTTTCCTAGGAAACTTACCATACTAGCTTAATAATTTCTTCTCATTTTAAGGTCTGAGATTGTGCAAATTAGACCGCTTACAGATTTCAATTAAAGTTTAGAATTTAAATTTTTATTTATATTACTACTATATAAACCGGTATAATGATATAATGATATTTAATATTTTGTCACTTGTTTTATAATAACTCTGGAAGCATCTATTTAATAACTTTTGTACTTTATTTATACAGAACCAACAAGAAAACCTTGGGAAAGAACAAATACAATGAATGGCAGCAAGTCACCTGTTATCTCCAGGTATCAATTTTTTTCTCTAAGTTTTATATTTTATTTGTATAAAAAAAGAAATTAAATACATTCTTATTGTAGAAAAAGACTGAATGGTAAGTTAGGAATTATACAGAGGAGCCCATAAAGCTCTCGTGATTCTATTGGACAGCCCACTGAGCTTCATTATATCTTACTCATCCGTGTTACTAGTGATTGATAAATTCTACCCTACATTAGCCATATTATCTGAGATTTTAAGATAGCTTTATCTTTCCCAATTTGTATTCTGAAAAACAGAAGAAGGATAGTGTAGTGAATGCTCATGTACTCATTTCCTAGGTTTAACAGTTGTCAGCAGTTTGCTCCACTTGTCTACAGATCCACTCTTTCATTCCCCTCTGATTAGTTTGAAAGTGGTTCACAAATAAGAACTGCTTCCCCCTAAATACGTCAGTGTTTTTTGGAAGAACCAGGACATCTGCTATGTAACCAGAATACCATTATTACTCTTAGGAAATTTAACATTGAACAATAATATCATCTAATATAGTAGATAGTCACATTTTCCCATTAGTCCAATTGACATAGATTTTTTTTTCTAAATGTAATTTTTGGAACCTTTTTAAAACCTGAAAATCAGCTGGAGAGAAAAGAGAGCCAAATGAAACCTAAAACTTTGAATTTGTAAAGTAGAAACATGTTATTTCCCTATATCATTTGAAACTTGTAAGTGTAATTAAGTTAGAAAAGATAGTATCCAGAAATGAGGCTACTCAATACTTGTTTTTACAAGTGCTTGTGGGCATAGTTTAGGCAAATTTGTTCTTCCTTTAGCTAGGCATACTTTATTTTCATAACTAAATTTATATCACAGCTCTTGAACATAGATGAAACATTTTCTTGGTTTAAGAGACAGCTTAAAGAAAGGGCTTGTATTTTTCCCAGAAAAAAAAAATATGTATTTAGAAATGAAAAGGTATTTTGTCTTTTCTTTATGAGGTATTTGACTTATTTTTGTCTCTATATAAAAAGCAACTTGATTCTAATTATAGAAACCTAATAAAGATAAGTACAAGGACAGACTTTATATTATCATAGACCTGCTCTGTTAGTCTAAGTTTAAATTTGGATTTGGCTTTCTGTGTGGTTCTTTCTGCTAATAGGAAAGAAGGTTTGCTAATAGGAAAGAAGATGATACAATTGTTTAAGCTCCACAAAGAAACTAGGCCTTTTGGAATGTATAAAAAATTTTAGTTTTTAAGTGATTGAAAGATGATCATATTTGACTTTAGAAGAAAGAGGGGAATTGCTTTTGGCAGACATGTGTTTTCAGTAGAGTAGAAAAATTGCACATTTCTGTTTCTCAGACTCCTAACTGAGATGGCTTCTAACACATCTCTGCTAGTTACCGACTTTCTTCAGTAGCACGTTATGAAGTGCTGATTTATCAAGCCCATAACAAGGAGCTGGCGAGGCGTAGTGGCTCATGCCTATAATCCCAGCCCTTTGGGAGGCCAAGGTGGGTAGATCACTTGAGGTCAGGAATTGAAGACCACCTTGACCAACGTGATGAAACCCCATCTCTATTAAAAATACAGAAATTAGCTGAGTATGGTGGCACATACATATAATCCCAGCTGCTTGGGAGTCTGAGACATGAGAATCATTTGTGCCTCGGAGATGAGGGTTGCAATAAACTAATAATCACGCTGTTGCACTCCAGTCTGCAGACCTGTCATGTGTCATTCGTCCTTTCTCTTTATCCCTGCTTCATTGATCTGCATTCCATAGTGAGCGAAAGCCAAGCCTGCGTTGATGGCAGAAGTCATGTCTTAGAAGGGACATGGAAGACGTTCTCCAAGTGGAATACATTCTTTGATGTATTTGGTCCATTTAGTAAAGGAAAAGTCATTATTTGAAAGATTTTTTTTATTTTTCCTAATTCCAGGAGGTAGGGATTTTTTTTTCCAGACTTCTAAAGGAAATTTAATAAGTGCTCTAAAGGTCACCATTTTGAAAATAATTTTTTATAGATTAGTTGAATCTTGAGTCTTTTTTTTTTTTTGAGACAGAGTTTCGCTCTTGTTACCCAGGCTGGAGTGCAGTGGCACGATCTCGGCTCACCACAACCTCCGCCTCCTGGGTTCAGGCAATTCTCCTGCCTCAGCTTCCCGAGTAGCTGGGATTACAGGCACCCGCCACCATGCCCAGCTAATTTTTTGTATTTTTAGTAGAGACGGGGTTTCACCATGTTGACCAGAATGGTCTCGATCTCTCGACCTCGTGATCCACCCGTCTCGGCCTCCCAAAGTGCTGGGATTACAGGCTTGAGCCACCGCGCCCGACCAGAATCTTGAGTCTTAATATCCAGTAGTGCACTGTAATCATGTTCCAATTCTGTTAGATGGTTTTCCTTTCCCAGAATAGAAATTCTGAAACTCCTGATTATTTCCTGACCACTCATATATTTTTTGATAGATTTCATCCAACTACTGATATATAGGTTTTAAAATTTCACCAAAACCTGTTTTAAACCATAGAATACTTTAAAAACATGTTTAAAAGACTAAGAACGATACTACTTTCCTTCCTAATTTATCTCCCCTGTTCCTTCAGAAAGCAAGTATATTAGCCGCTTTAAGTATATGCCTTATCCTTGCATTATAGTGAAGGTGCCCATTGCCCTTTGGAATATCTTTGTCAAAATTATGTTAGTGGTAAGATGGATTAATGTCTCGTATGTGAGATATTGCATATGCTGTATTTGTTAATTGATGATGTCAGAGTAAAAGCAAGAATGTTGTGGTTGAAAATGCTTTAAACGATGACTGGATTGTAACATTTGGAAGGTTCATGTATTCATCTGTGGTTTTTAAGACCTTACAGATCTTGTATTCAGGATGAGGAAAGATAGTCCTTCACAGGCCTCCTGAGAAGAGTTAATTTTATATACTTACTGTGCCTGCAACCTATAAAAAGTAGCCATTGTATAGTGATTTTAAAAATTTTCTGTTAACTTGTAGTCTCAAAATATCTTTTCTATTGGGGAAAATCGGTTATTTTAAGGTTAATAGACTCTTTCAATTCTTGTTTTGTTTGCTATTAACAACCTATAAAACAGTAACATGATGAGAATTATTTTTTAAAGTTCTATTGTATATCCCTTTCAATGGTTTTCCCCTTCATAGACGGGATTCTCCAAGGAAAAATCAGATTGTTTTTGACAACAGGTCCTATGATTCATTACACAGGTATCATCCTGCTGTGACGTTGTGATTTGAGACTTTTAAATAACATGTTCAGGATAGGGCTGAGCTTTTTCTACCTGGATTGGTAATCACCACAAAGGAGTTTTGTTTGTTGTTTTTTTTTTTTTAACTTCATTTTGAATACCTTTTAAAAATTCTGCCATCACTTTACAGATGGATTAGGATAAATACAATGGTAAACATAGTAGAAATACTAGACTGGGAATCTAAGGCCACATATATTATCTAGACCATTTGTAGCTTAAGCATTTTCTTTTAAAAGAAGGTTTCAAAAAACTGGAATAGAAGATCTTTTCCATCTGTTACCAGAACATGGGCTGATATTATAGCCACAGTTGTGGATAATTGATTCTTTGAGGAAAATCTGTTTCTTAGATACTTTGTAGTAAATTATCTTTGACAATTTAACATCCAGCATCCTGAGTAGATTGTTTTCTAGGATAAGCCCCATTTTTTAATTAAGAAGACTTAAGATATAAACTAGGTTTTTCTTAATTAAAAAAAATTGACAGCTAAAAAAAAAATCTTCATGCTTTCCAGTTACTTACACAATTAATTTGGCAGAATAGGGACTTACATATAGTAGGACAGTTATTTTATAGGCAGGTGTTTAAAGGCAATACTCTCATCCTAAAAAAAACCGGCCCAGCATGGTGGTTCACACCTATAATCTTGGCACCTTGGGAGGCCAAGGCTAGAGGATCATTTGGGGTCAGGAGTTCAAGACCAGCCTTGGAAAGGTAGCAAGACCCCATCTTTACGAAAAATTTAAAAATAAGCTGGATCTGGTGGCTTGTGTCTATAGTCCCAGCTAGTCAGGAGGCTAAGACAGAAAGATACCTTGTGCATAGGAGTTACAGACTGCAGTGAGCCGTGATCACACCACTGCATCCTAGCCTGGGTGACAGCGAGACCCTCTCTTAAAAAAAAAAAGTAAAATAAAAACCTGAGAAACCCTCATTTGGTGATCAGTTATGATGGAAACCCATAGATAAGAAATAACTGAAATGTATCTTTGTTATATGCATCTATTTTTTATACATCAAGTCCACTGTGAATATTAATTAAATGGTGTTCGTAGTGGATGTCTATCACAGTGAGTTGGGAGTTCTGTAAGCAGACTTTGGCCAAATTCTTACCTGCTAAAATTATTTTTATGCCATTAATGATCAAAATACTTGACAAGTTAATATTGTCAGCCAGTTAAATCTTCGAAAAACTTCTGCTTTTTCTTTCCTTTGAGGTGGTTTAATTGTTTTGGCCAAAAGATTTCTTTAGAGAATTTGCTAGTACATAGAAAAACAGCATTTAACAATGAGATTTTTAAGGCTGGGTGCCATGGCTCTTCGGGAGGCCAGAGAGGGAGGATTACTTGAGTCCGGGAGTTTGAGACTAGCCTAGCCTAGGCAATGTTGTTAAACCCATCTCTACAAAACATACAAAAATTAGCCAGGCATAGTTGCATATGCCTATGGGAGGCTGAGGTGGGAAGGTGGCTTGAGCCCAGGCGGTCAAGACTGCAGTGAGCTGAGATCATGTCACCACACTCCAACCTGGGTGACAGAGTGAGACCCTGTGTCCAAAAAAATATATATATTTTAAATGTAGTAAAATCTGCTCAGTTATCTTGCTGCTTTCACACATAGTGCCCACTGGGGCGTTATTGATAAATGTTTTTGGTAGAAGTTAAGAAAAAAAGTGGTGATTACATCTTTCCTTCAGTATGAAAAGTTCCCCCCTTTAGTTAATTATCATGGTGGTGGTGGTGATGGATTGCATGTTAGCATGAATTAAATTTTTTAAAAATTGCATGTTTCCACAATTGTTTATTATATAACAGTTTTTGCATTGCCTAATAAATATGAATATATTCATAACATACTTGCCCAATTAAATACCAGACTGTAGTTGTTCATGTGAATTTCAGAGGTATTCATTATATAACTTGAGAAAATAATTAGTTAAATGGGCCACTTAAATAGAAATCATAAGAGAAAAGCAGAGTAATTATGAATTATAGTTTAATTCTTGAGAATAGGTAGCATGAGTGAGTATATGAAATAATGGTGTCCTAACCTTTAAGAACATTTACCAGACATGACTCTGCCTAGAGCACCATGACTTGCATTTTATGGATCTCAGTAAATGACCTTGGAATTTAGTAGTCTTCCCTAGCAAAGTAAGAAGGTGTATCCTCACAAGAGGAAAGGACATGTTTCTTATAAATCTTATTCCCTACAGTGTCTAGCTCAGTGTTTATTGAATGAAATTTTCTGAAAGTTATTATTTCCCCCATTCATATAAACAGATACCTAATAAAGTAAAATTGGATGGCTTGCTTCATCACAGTCTTTTAAGCAGTAATATGTTTTGATAGTAAAGCAGATTAACAGTGCAGGCACGGTGGCTCACACCTGTAATCCAAGCAGTTTGGGAGGCTGAAGCGGGCAGATCATGAAGTCAGGAGTTCAGGACCAGCCTGGCCAACATGGTGAAACCCCGTCTCTACTAAAAATACAAAAAAATTAGCCAGGTTTAGTGGCAAACCTGCAATCGCAACTACTCCGGAGGCTGAGGCAGAAGAATTGCTTGAACCCAGGAGGTGGAGGTTGCAGTGAGCCAAGATTGCACCACTGCACTCCAGCCTGGGCAACAGAGCAAGACTGCATCTCAGAAACAACAACAGGAAAAAAGCAGATTAACTCAGAGTTTAATCTTCAGGAACCATGCTTACGGGTTTGAAGTATTTTGTGTCTTATAAGAATTATGAAATTATGATTTTGAAAAATTTATTATGCCTCTTGGGTCTTGGTTCAGATATCTAACGTTGATATTCTTCAAAATTAGAAATATATGATTTGCCTGATGGTTTTAAATTGCATTGATTTGTGGCTCATAAAGAAGAGAGGGCACTTACCATACTAAACCAGAACCCAAAGGAGTGTCCAATTAAAACTGTAGGTTTTCCACTGAGGATTCTCTTTTATTGCCAGAATTGGAGAGGGCACCATGACCGGTTTATTTGGTATTGAAACTTTTGTTCAAAATATACCCAATCACTGACTTATTAAGACTTTTAATAGAAACTAAACTTTTGAAAGTACAATGATAATTGACAGTCTACTTCTGTCTGGCATTTCTTTTTTATTTAATAAAATAAATTTATGAAAGTAGTTAGCCTGAAGCACCATTCAAATTACGTCTCCATAAAAGTTTCACAAGGAAATAGTCATATAATATAATCTAATAATCATTTTAAAAACATTTTTGTTTTGATGCTTGAAATGGAATAAATGTATAAAGCAAATCATGCTCACTAAAAATGTTTTCTTCCTGCAATCCAAGGCATCAACTTTGTAAGCTGATTTATGTCAGTGTAAAACATGCAAGTCTTTATGTTTCTCCTTTCACTAGTTTGCCCAGGTATTTAAATAGATAATGTAAAAATTCAAAAGAAAGACAAAACAAGATTGTGTTACTTGAGCCTCAGATGTTTCAACTGGCCTCTTCATCACTGTCTTGGTCAACGTGCCACGTTATCTGACTACCTCATGCCCAAAGAATACCATCTTCTACTCTTTTCTGAAGAAGTCTCACCATCTTGTCATCTTTTTCTAGTTCCTTTATAAATAAGAAAATACTGAGAAAAGTGACAAATATTTTGTTTTCTGTTCTTATCAACCATACAATTTTGGTAATTTTTTAACAAAATGGCTTTTTAAAAGAAATGTATTTAAATCTGGTGTTGGGTTGGTAAATTTGCAGTTATTTATGAACCCATTAAGTATTAAGAATGTTGTTTACCTGTCCTGGAAATTTCATTTATACAGACCGAAATCCACACCCTTATCACAGCCCAGTGCCAATGGAGTCCAGACAGAAGGACTTGACTACGACAGGCTGAAGCAGGTGGGCGCTCAGTGGCAGCTTTCTTTTATTTGTATTTGTTTCTTTTTAAAAAAATATCCTGTCCAGGCAAGGTAGCTCATGCCTGTAATCCCAGCACTTTGGGAGACCAAGGTGGACAGATCACAAGGTCAGGAGTTTGAGACCAGCCTGACTAACATGGTGAAACCCGTCTCAACTAAAAACACAAAAAATTAGCTGGGCGTGGTGACACACACCTTTAGTCCCAGCTACTTGGGAGGCTGAAGCAGGGGAATCACTTGAACCGGGAGGCGGAGGTTGCAGTAAGCCGAGACGCGGCCAGTGCACTTCAGCCTGGGCAGCAGAGTGAGACTCTGTGTCAAAAACGAAAAACGAAACATATGTATCCTGAATATACTTGAAAAGAGGGTAGTGCTAGAATACTGTTATATAAAACAGTGGTATTAGTTGGTACTGTATTATTTTTTCAAATCTATACTTTTGCTTCCATGAGTTTGCATGAAGTTGCAGAGGTAGTGGAGGGTGGGGCTGTGCTTCAGTGTTAACAGTATAAAGTTTAAATGTAAGTGCACAGTATGCAGTTGTGAAGAAAACAATGGGCTTCTTCCTTTTCACTTACTATATTGGCAAAATTGGATCCAACAAATCTGATTTTGGCAAAGTTGCAAGGAAATAGGCACTCTTACTTCTGCTTTCTAAAAAGCAGTTTGGGAAAACAAAATCGAAAGCCTGAAAAATAAATGTCTTATCTTGAACTCAGTGATTAGAATTCCAGGAATTTATTCAAAGAATATATTGTAAAAGTACCTGAATAGATAGTGGGTGGAGTAGGGGCTCTGTAGGCTTCAAGGGATCGTAATTTAGTATGCTTCATAGTAAATTGCCAACACCTGCCTGTGTTAGGTGTAGCAGGTAACAAACAAGTGTGTACAGTTATCTTGATTTTATAAAAAAGAAAAAGATACTGTCCACATTTGGATACATATGCATTATATTTAATACCTGTGTATTCAGGAAAAAAATAAATGATAAGATTATGATTTGAAATATTTTATTCACAGAAGAGGTGAAATACATTTTTTAGATACCCGGAATTATACTGCAAAGCTATTTGAAAAGTTAAATTGAGTTATATAATTTTAAAGGGGAGTATGTGGTCATTGAAAATCAAGCCCTTGTTTTGCTGTACATTGAATATGGCTTTCTCGAAAAATGTTCTAAAATAAAGCACTTTCACACACTTGAAAACATGATCAATTCGTAGTTATCTGAAGTACAGGTGGAGAACAGAGGAATAGATTTGATTTGGGGGGTGCTTTAAAGATGAATTTGGATCAGGACATCCGTGAGTCTGTTTAATAACTTCTGTGTCTCAGTCTCTTCCTTTCCTAAAATGAGGACATTAAACTAATTGATAGTTTTATTTTAAATGTGAAAAGCTTTTCAAAAGATAAACTCTAACAGAGTAATTTAATTTTTCCTGGGGTATTCAGTATTAAGGAAAGCCACACAATTCAAAACTAATCCTTCCAAAGGATTATTTTTCACCCATTAAAATTGTGTCACTTTGACATAAGACCTCTAACCTTGAATCTGTAGTTTGTTTGTTTGTTTTTGTTTTTGTTTTTGTTTTTTGAGACGGAGTTTTGCTCTTGTTTTTTTTTAAGATGGTATCTTGTTCTGTTGCCAGGCTGGAGCGATCTCGGCTCACTGCAACCTCCGCCTTTTGGATTCAAGCAATTCTCCTGCCTCAGCCACCTAAGTAGCTGGGATTACAGGCGCCTGTCACCACGCCTGGCTAATTTTTTGTATTTTTAGTAGATACAGGGTTTCACTATGTTGGCCAGGCTGGTCTCAAACTCCAAACTCCTGACCTTGTGATCCGCTGCCTAGGCCTCCCAAAGTTCGGGGATTATAGGCTTAAGCCACCACGCTCTTTGTTTTTGTTTTGTTTTGTTTTCTTTTCTTTTCTTTTTTGGAGACAGAGTCTCACTCTGCCCCCCCCCAGGCTGGAGTGCAGTGGTGCAATCTCAGCTCACTATAGCCTCTACCTCCCGGGTTGAAGTGATTCTCCTGCCTCAGCCTCCTGAGTAGTTGGAATACAGGTGTGCACCACCACGCCCGGCTAACTTTTATAATTTTAGTTGAGACAGGGTTTCACCATGTTGGCCAGGGTGGTCTCAAACTCCTGACCTCAAGTGATCTGCCCACCTTGGCCTCCTTGGCCTTCCAAACTGCTGGGATTATAGGCATGAGCCATGACACCGAGCCAAATCTGCAGTTCTTGAAGAGGGCCCAAAGCACCACAGTTAAATAGAAATGTAATGTGGGCTACATATATTTTTAAATTTTCCTAGTAGCCACATTTTAAAAATACAAAACAAAGAAAAGGACAGAATTAATTTTAAAACTTTACTAACAATGTATTTAAAGTATATTTTAATATGTAGTCAATTTTTATAAATTACTGAGTTATTTTACATTATTTTCATCACACTAAATCTTCAAAATATGATGTGTGTTTTATCATTACAGCACACCTCATTTCAGATTAACCTCATTTCAAGGGCTCAGCAGCTGCATGTGGCTGGTGCCTGCTGTATTGGACAGCATGAGTCAACCGGGGCCTCATCCACCTTCCTGTCTACCCATTAGGGCGATCCCTGAGGTCCCTTCAGGGAAATCCTAGACTCCTTGAAATATGGTTTGGCAGTTTTGGTGATTTCCAAGAAATTATACTTCAAACCAATTGCCAAGAGCCAATTGTCCAGTTTACTGTAATCTGTTCCTCTAAACCTCCTTTGTATCACCTCTCTGACTGTTCCCAGAGGACTAGATGAAAAGCACAGCATTACCGTTTCTAGAAACTATCTGAATACCTTCTATTGGATGACAGAGCCATTATCTTAATTTTAGGAAGCATTTTATTTCACATATTGGTAGCCTAGAACAAGCCAGGATTGGGAAGGAAAGAATATTAAAACAAAATTTACCAAGGCTCGTCTTCCAAGAAATAGAATTGTGGCTCTGGAAACAGAAAAAAACCCTACATATCATACATCATGACATTCTTAAAATTTTATATGAGTAAGAATATAAATTTTCTGATATTTTTCTCTAATATTTTAGGACATTTTAGATGAAATGAGAAAGGAATTAGCAAAGCTAAAAGAAGAGCTCATCGATGGTAAGTGTCTGGACAAGTTTACTATTCCTGTAAAACAGTGTTTAAGATTCACCATTTTTAAGAAAATACAAATAAGGAAATACCCATTTGATTACTTGACTTCCATAGTCCTGCCCTTTTAAGATTAGGGTTTTGGGGAGGAGGTCTCTCCTTCATATAATGGAAATTACTTGTATAAACAGGGATTAAATAGTATCCCTGCATTTCAGGTGTTGTCTTTTCTTAGATAGAAAACCACATGAACAGATCTTCCCTCTAGGTTACCTCTACTCACCTATCCCAGTGCCACCTTGTTTTTGAGCTCACATAATCAGTGTTTTCATTTTATATGCAAAAGGAGAAAATAAATACATAGAAATTAGAATCATCTTTCTAATATTAAAGAAGTATGCAATGGAAGATGCAAAGTTAATCTTTTTATTACTGTGAGTTTGAGAATAATCTTTAAAGTTTCTTAAGAATGAATCACTCATTTATTTTACTTTATCATTGTATTTATTTTCAATGCTTGTTCTTTTCTATCCAGCAATCAGGCAGGAACTGAGCAAGTCAAATACTGCATAAAGAAACAGACTACGGAGAGATAGGACTTTAATTTGGAGAAAAAAAAAAATCTACAAACAACAACTGTTCACAACAGTAAACCCCTACATTTTATGAGCTGTAACAAGAAAATGGAGACAAACAGAAGGAGGGAAAAACCAACCTACTCTGAAAGCCTTCAGACATTATGACTCTGGCGATAAGCTCTTTCCCTCTCAGTTTGCTGCTTTTTTCTGGCCTTTACAACAGAATGGAAGAGAATCATATAAGAGTTCCTGTAACAGTTATGCAGAAAATATTAAAACCCATCAGGCAAGATCATCGCGCATTGAAATACTTTCATGTCAAGATAAAATCGCACATTTTCCGCAATTCGTTGCTAAAATAGAGGAGAAAGGCTTAGGAAGTTTTTTTGCAGAGAGTGCTGATGAAGAATTGAGCAAGTTTGCTATTGTATTGTAATGTTTCTCTCAGGTTTGTTCTTCCTATCATGTTTGATATTCCATGAATAATTGAGATCAGCCCTATATAAGATAAGATACGCAGAACAAATGGAATTGTAAGTGCTTTCAAAGGTTAATATTTATAAGAAAGTGTCCTAAAAATGATTTGTTCAGCTTGAGGAATTTTAGAATGATAGGAAGTCTCTCGAGTTAGCCTTCATGCAATTTTGTAGATTAAAACATAAAATTTGTCCAGAATTTAAAGATTTAGATGCCTTCCTAAATTGTTACAATGCTTTACCAAATCTATGACTTCTACATAACACAAACCAGTGGTCAAATGTAAACAATATATTGTAGATTTACTGTAGGTTTTCAACCTTTTTTAGATTTATGCATGTGGACATTTTTATAATGTAATTACAATCACCACAAAGTTAGCTTTTTTAATTGCAGACAGTAATGCATGTCACACTAATATGTAGTGGCCTTTTCAAGGCCTAGTCCCAGGGAAACATTTTGTAGAGTATAGGGGAGTGGGAGGAAGGGGAGGAATAATTTTTTATTTAAAGTTGATTTCTGCACTATCTTTTTCTCAATTACCTGCATGAATAATAATGAGGAATATTTTGTGACTTTAATTGGTAAATATGTTACAAAACCAAGTATTTAATCTTTTACATCATGTCTTCAGCTATTTGTATTTTAACCAGTAATTTCAATGGTCTGAAACATGATTCTGAGCTTCACATAATATCTTACTGTGGAACTCAAAAGTTTGATCACTGAATTTGGCAGTTATTATTACCTAGGTACCCCTGCTGTTACACAGGTGTTTAGATACATGTTCCTGAATGAAGCTGCTTTTGACTTTTGTTATATTGAAATACAAGAAATAACAATGACGGCAGCAATTAAGGTCACAGAAATCATTAGGTAAAGGAAAAACCAATGAGGAGTTCTACAGTTTTCTTTTAATAAGTAAAGTGGGACTTGGGTGGTGGGAAGAAGGAATTAGACGCTCTACCTGCCATCCTGCGTGTGTGTGCACTCGTGCACGTGCTGTCTATATGTAAGCCACTCCCTTTTCTTTCCTTTGAAACTGATGAGGTTAAAATAGGGGAGAAATCCTATATATTGCAATGATAGCTTTCTGGAAAATTGAAGAAATCAAACTCTCCAGGCTCTCCATCCTGATTTATGCTTGAGTCGTTATGTGCCATATTTGCTTTGAACTCTGATTATTAGAAGTTTTACTAAAATGTTGAAGAAATAATTCACTTTCATCTGCTTTCCAGATTTTGTACATCTCAGTTCATAAAGCAAAGCTTGTTGATAATGTAGTTTTCTAAATGCTGCAGATGTGCAGCCGTTACCACTACAAAGACGTTTGGATGAGGGATTTTTTTTTTTCTTTGTTAAAATAGTTCCTGTTTCTGTAGAAATTTCATTTTTAGATTAAACTGTGATGGATGAGCTATCATACATTTCTTTTTTCTATCAGATAGGTATTGTCATGCAGTAGCAGTAAATACATCAGAGGCGCAGCAAGCTTACGAAGTTCTGTTTTCTAAAAGAAATAGGAGGTATTTTCATCTTTATTATTGTACTTTTGGTTATGCAAACACTTTGATAACATAAAGTTATATCCCCTATAAATCTGGTCAGAAACCTCTTTTGATTTTGTTGAGTACGTTAACTAGTCTATAATAGGTAGAGTACTGGGTACAAGTGGTCCAAACTAAGATAAGAGACTAAAATAAAATGCTAAATCTTAAACTGGGTTTATGCACTAAACGTTTTGTGCCTTGGTCTAATATTAACATGATGTCTGTGTAAAATGACAAAAAGAACCAGTGTTGAATCACGCTATATTTTCCATCATCCCAGATCGCTAAATGTATTCTTTCCAAGAAGTCTGAACGAATTATTATATACATTTTCTGTCATGTACCCATGACAGTTGTGTCATTGTTAGAGATTTCAGTAATTAAAATGGGAAACAGAAGCTTAAGTTATTTTCCTTATCAAAACTATGTTCCTTGGAACCACATTATTATGATGGTTTTTGTGCTCTTGTACATTGGATGTCTTAAGCTAAGTACAGTTTAGGGGATCCTTTCTAATTAATTACAGGAAGGTACTGCTTTCCTCAACACTGTGATCTGACCTGTGACAAATCTGTACTATACACTATGTAAATGGCTAACAAGTCAATTGCAAACAAACTGAATGTACAAATCTTAGTGCTGGTGCTGAAATCTCTTCAGAATAGTTATGATTTAAAAGTTTGTTTATAAATTTGCAAGCATCAAGTGTCAATCAAAACTGAAGATGAAACACTAATGAATGTTGAATTCTCATGCTTTTAGGTATACTTCCTTTTTAGAATTTTCAGTTTTCTGCTATTTTTACCGTAACTATTTCATTTAAATTTGTTTCACTTAAATTTCCTACACGCTAACTTCATTTGTGCGATTGAAATAAAATTGCAGTATATATGCATTGCTTGTTTGTGACACTTAGATAATCTTCTGAAATAATTTGTTAGTAAGTTATATTGGATGTGAAAACTACCTTTTAAAGTCCAAGACTTCACTGCTTAAAAGTTTACATGTCACGTCACTATTCTTTAAAGATTTCATAGGAGTCATGAATACTAAGTAATGTATACAAAGGAAATCTGTGATGACTTGTCTACTTTCTGTTTGAAATAACTGTTGGGTGTTCCCTGTTTGTTATTTTCTCTCTGCCCATCTTGATACAGTAACTTACTCTATAGTCAAGATGATGATAAATGTTTAATTTTTATTCCATTTTTTTCTGCAACACATTCAGATACTTAAAACTGGTTCATGCAGTTAGAATTTTCCTGTATATAGTTTGCGTGGTAAAGGACATTGTGTGGTAAAGGGCATTATCAAGTATTGAATTTTAAGTGTAGCAAAAGCTGTATAGTGTTTCTACATGATACTGATTTCTTAAAACCTACAAATAAGCAGTAGTACTTTTTATCTATTGTAAAGTATTAATTTTGAGTTCCATTTTTATAATTCTGATGTCTTCATTAGAAATACAAAAATACAATCCTTGTATTTTTTTTCGTTTATCAGACCCGAATTTTCCCCCTTTCCCCCTCCATTCTCCTCTCCACTTCTCACGGACCATATGTTCCCGACGTTCATTAACATCTGCAGCCATTACAGAGTTCACAGTTTTAACATTTTCAGCTGATTTTTTTTTTTGCTCTATCTTGTCTCATGTTCTTGCTTCTCTTCATATGTAAGAATTTCATCTACTAATTGAAAGTCACTTCTCATTCAAAAATGAATTAAGTAACATGCTAACCTTTTAAATTTGCCTAGCTACAATATTTATGTCTCTTAAATTTATATATACTTTGAGTGCCATTGTGAAGAATTGGCCTTTAAATTCTAAGTAGTGTTACCCTGTGAAGCACATTGTGCAAAGGTACGCCACAGGGTCTCTTTAATTGCTGTGTAGCCATGATAACTTTACAACACCATTACCCTTTAAATGCTACCGATTATAAGCAGCATAAAAGTAACTAAAGCAAACATTGCAAAGCAATGCTCTAGGAGCTCTTAATTCCTGATGTAGCTGTTACAAAAATCACTTTCCCGAAGACATTTACTCTACCATTCACTTCCGAACTCCAAACCTGTTTCTGGTAGCACCACTCTTGTTTTTAATAGAAAGATGAGTTCATATCTATACATCTCTCCAAAGCTCTAAGGAATGAGAAAAGGATCCTAGTATATTGAAATTACTGATATTTAATACCTCTGCCTTTTCACTGAAAGCCATTTAATATTTATACGTTAAAAGCATATTCATAGATGCTTTTTAAAGTCAGAACTTGACATACAGGTATTTATAAGGAATCTCCATGACTCTAAGGGAATAAAATTGATCTAGGTGTCTTTGGCTACATAGAGACATAGTAGAGGACATTGACTTATAAGAATAGTTTTCTGAGGATGTGTAGATTTGACTAAGCAGCTGAAGTCAGTAACCCCTCAAGAAAGGCCGTTTGTAGGAGTCAGGAACTGTTGGAGGTCTGTGATGCAGGTTTTTCTGTTCCCAGCACCAAAAGCGGTGGATTACTAGATTTGTTCCCCTTTATGTTATCTCTAGATAATTTTTGAGACATCAAGATTTTAAAAAATATCTTAATACTGGAAAGATGAAACCTTCAAATTTAAAAAGACTAAAATTGATTAGGAAGGAAAGTAAAATACTGCAGTACATTTAGGATGGTTACAGATATTCAGTGTCAAATAAATGGAGTTATAGGATAAATTCTCCGTGGAATACTAATGGTCAAGTCACATAAGAGGAAAACAAAATTTTTGGTGAGGAGGTACATTTGAAAACTGCTAAAGAATTAACTGTAAATTTGTCTAAATAGTTTATAAAGTAACAGAAACATTGTAAAAGGGTAAATAATGACCATCATAAAGACTTAGGATGTTGTAAGAATGTCTGCCACGTTTATTGGTTATTTCTGTTGAAATCTGAAAGAATCAAAACATGTCAAGATTGAGAAAGGGAAAAAATGACTTTCTTTCAGCTACAGATAATCTGTGATGCACATTACTTTGTAAACAGAAATGTTAGTATTATTTAAAGCACAGACATTAGTTTAACATGTAGAATAAATCAAAGATGAAGTATTTGTTCATTAGTTTAACATATAGAGTAAATCAAAGATGAAGCCCCAGCTAAGTGTTTAAACCAAAGAATCACAGTCACTGAGCTGCTCCCGGTTCTGTGAAGCATGTTAAATACTCCTAAAGAGCAGAGAGCAGGGCCTGTAGATGCTTCTGGTGCAGGACGCAGAGCTCCTAGGCAGAGGGAGAAAATTAGGGGCCCCGGTCGGTGGCTGACAGCAAAAAGAATGTACCATTTGAGTAGTACTATTCTTTTTCCTCACTTTTTAAAGGCATACAATTCCTAGAAATTAGGACATCTAAATAACTCAGTGAACTGGTCACTAAATTCAGTTTTCTCAACAAAAAAGAAGTTCTGACCAGGCGCAGTGGCTTATACCTGTAATCCCAGCACTTTGAGAGGCTGAGGCGGGAGGATAGTTTGAGGTCAGCCCAGGCAACACAGGGAGACCTCATCTCTACAAAAAAGAATTTTTTAAAAATTTGGGCCAGGCATGGTGGTGCACACCTGTAATCCCAGCTACTCAGGAGACTGAGGTGGGAGGATCACCTGAGTCCAGGGAGGCTGAGGCTGCAGTGAGCCATGATCATGCCATTGCACTCCAGCCTGGGTGACAGAGCAAGACCCTGTCACTTAAAAATTCTAAGAGAATACAGCTTTTTATTTTAATTGAAATGATTAGAAAGCCTACGTACTTCGTTAGCAAGCCCAGACTACATATATTCCATAAAAGATCTATATAAAAATGATAGCCTCATAGATCAGCCTGATTAAACTGTTCCCTCAATTCCAAGAAAGATTTCTTCAGCAGGAGGTGACAATTCTAAAAACATAAATCACTAATAAAAGAACTGGATAATGTTATAGGTTTGTTTGCTTAGATTTTCGTAAATAGTTATTCTTCTAAGAAGGCTTAGACAATAGAAAAGATTGCACAGTTGGTACTTTGAATTCCACAGGAAATTGCACTCAGAAGAAAAGAAGTCTACATTGATTGGTGTTTAGATTGAGAGATTTAATTCTCCCAACAAGTTCAAAAGTTTCCATTCAAGTCTATAGAAACTGATAAAAAAGCTTCTTGTCTTACACTTAAAATATGCATTGTTGTTACCATATAAAAGAAATATGTTATAGAAAGCTTTTTAAAATTTGATCTCTTCAGTGCCTAACATTCCATGCTTTAGTCACATCTGTGGAACCTCTTTTCTTTTTTTTTTTTTTTTTTTTAGATTAAAGGCGTTTTAAAAATAAATGTTTTATGGCCCGGGATGGTGGCTCACACCTGTAATCCCAGCACTTTGGGAGGCTGAGATGGGTGGATCACCTGAGGTCAGGAGTTCGAGTCCAGCCTGGTCAACATGGTGAAACCCCATCTTTACTAAAAATACAAAAACATTGGCCAGGCGTGGTGGTGGGCACCTGTAATTCTAGGTATTCGGGGAGGCTGAGGCAGAATAGCTTGAACCCGGGAGGTGGAGGTTGCAGTGAACTGAGACGCACCACTGTACTCCAGCCTGGGTGACAGAGCGAAATTCTGTAACTGAATGAATCAATGAATGTTTTTCAGCTTATTTTATATGAGAAATAGCAGCTTTTCATTGTTAAATGAAACTGAGACACCAGTTGATCTCGGGTGTCACTTGACTGGTTCTGACTATGTCACTGGGCGTTATAAATACAGAGTTTCCCTCCACCTTTTTATCGAGTCTGGGGTTTGTCTATCTTGGTGGTGGACTAACTTAACCATGGATTCACAAACCCATTTGACTGTCCTAGGTCATGAGGCTACCCTGTGACAGTGGTTGGGCATCACAGTGAGTCTGGGGTGATGAATTTGAGTTAGCTGCAGTTCTGCACCTCGGCAACAGGCTGTGGATGGTTGGTAGTAGATGTTGACTTTGCCACTTAAATTTCCAGGAAGAATAGCTTACAGTTTATCTGAGGAAAGTAATGGGAAGGCTTAGAGACTGAGAAGAAAGCCCTATTAAAATCTAGGTAGCATTTCCTTTCTGCTTATTTACTACCAAAAAAGAGAGGTTCAGGCCTGAGTCAGGACTTCAGTTTGGTGTCCTTTCCAGAGGTACTCTAGGCCTCATCATTTTAAGTTTCAATTGCAAAAAGAAAAAAATCTGTTGACAGAGTCTTGCTCTCACTCAGGTTGGAGTGCAGTGGTGTGACCTCGGCTCACTGCATCCTCAGGTTCAAGCGATTCTCCTGCCTCAGCCTCCCGAGTAGCTGGGACTACAGGCACCCGCCACCACACTCGGCTAATTTTTGTATTTTTAGTAGAGACAGGGTTTCACCATGTTGGCCAAGCTGGTCTCAAACTCCTGAGCTCAGGTGATCCACCCACCTCGGCCTCCCAAAGTGCTGGGATTACAGGTGTGAGCCACAGCACCTGGCTTCAATTGCAGAAATGTTTGAAGGGAGAATATTTGATCCTCACATAAAATGTCCTTGTTTCTGAAAGAAAACGTAAAAAGATTGTCATTGAGTCCATGTCTTTGCCACCTTCCTGGGCTTGATTTCCCTTTCTCTGTGTTCTTCTTGCCCTCAGTCTCCTTTTTGCGTGTGGAATTGTGGGCAGGTCATTGGACTGGGACTGGCTGACTTCACCAGATGTTAGCCTGCAGGGCTAGCTGGTCATTCTCTCTGGGCCTTCTACCTCTAAATTTTAGTTCTTTTTTAAAGTTCTTTTTGTTTTGTTTTTATTTTTTCCTCACCACTATACAAGCGAGGATAAAGCTTTTATTACTATTATTTTTAGATGGAGTCTCGCACTGTTGCCCAGGCTGGAGTGCAGTGGCAAGATCTCAGCTCACTGCAACTGCTGCCTCCTGGCTTCAGGTGATTCTTCTGCCTCAGTCTCCTGAGTACCTGGGACTAAAGGCGTGCACCACCACACCCAGCTAATTTGAATTTTCAGTAGGGATGGGCTTTCACCATGTTGGCCAGGCTGGTCTTGAACTCCTGACCTCAGGCGATCTCCCCACCTTGGCCTCCCAAAGTGCTGGGATTACAGACAGGAACCACGGTGCCTGGTCCCAGTAAAGTTTAGTGCTGAATTTACTCCTTCAGTGTATCCTCGGCAGCTACTGGTTTTTTCTTTTCTTTTTTTATTCTTTTTTTTTTTTTTTTTTTTTTTTTTTTTTTGAGATTGAGTCTTGCTCTGTTGCCAGGCTGGAGTGCAGTGGTGCAGTCTCGGCTCACTGCAACATCTGTGTCCTGGGTTCAAGTGATTCTTCTGCCTCAGCCTCCCAAGTACCTGGGACCACAGGCACGTGCCACCACACCGGGCTAATTTTTTTGTGTTTTTAGTAGAGGCGTATTTTCACCATGTTGGCCAGGATGGGCTCGATCTCTTGACCTCGTGATCTGCCTGTCTCAGCCTCCCAAAGTGCTGGGATTACAGGCGTGAGCCACTGTGCCTGGCCGGCAGCTACTGGTTGTTTTATTCTTTTCTCATCTTTTTTGGTATATTCATCTTTTGATCGGAGAAACAAGGTGAGTTTGGCTCTCGCATCTTAAGTGCAGCGTTTAGTTGTTTTATAATCGTAGATGCTGTTGCGCTGGACAGCATGCATCCTGGATGTGAACAATGTGGAACATCAATGGAGTCACACTTTTGGGGTCAGTGGTGGTGCATAAAGCATAAGTGGTGTGCTGTTCTGCACCAGTTTCCTCTGCGTCACTGATGTACTTTCAGTTTGAATTACGCTCATCTGTGTGGTGACTTCAGTGTATTCTCCACTGTGCTTCAACCTGGAAACACATTCTCACATTCAGAAAGATGGATTCCATTCATGCAATGGGACTACACGAGATCCATGCTCCAATTATATATGAATAACAAAGTCAATTTGACTCTTCTAGTTCAAGAGCTGTTTCTAAGTAAACAGACTTTCCAGAGCTCGATGAAGTGAGGGAGCCGTTCTGGGCAGAATTCAGTGGTTTTCATGTCATCTGAACCTGCTGCGCTGTTGTTTATTCTATCACTGTCATCCTTGAGGGGAAAAGGGGGAATAATCTTACCCTCCTGCCCTTCTTATTTTATATCTTTGATCTTATCCATCTATATCCATGTAGTCATTCCTTCTGAGTTCCCTGTTTTTGATCCAGAAGACTGTTACAGCCATGTCTTGGCAGACCTGGTGCCCCTCTCATGCCATTTGAGGGCTGAATCTTTGCTTCATCTTAGGAAGATGAAGACAGTGTGTCAGTCAGAGACAGCAATAGAAGGTTTGGGATGATACAAGATGGGCCCTGTTTTGCTGACATTCTTTTGCTTTGGTTCTTGGCGAGTGTGTTTTGGGATTCATTTCTTGTTAGTATGAATAGGACATGCTTTTTATTAGGTGCTTTTCTTTTTTGGAGAAAATGAAGTGTTTCTAACAAGTGAATGAGCTAGAAAGAATTCTATTTTGAGACATCTGTAGTTGATGCAAAGTATTTCTGTAATCCTCAATTACAGTACTTACATATTTGCATAGAATTTTTTTTTTTTTTTAAATTTTTGAAGAAGCCTCTCTGGAGTCTGTATAGGAACACCCTGAAAGTCCCTATTATGTAGCTGGTAGGGAGAGGGAGAGGGACAGCCACGCCTGTGCTGTGAGCAGAGCAGAACTTCAGGAGGAGTGAACCCTCCTCATTGGAAGCTTTCTGTTGTCCAGCCTCGGGGGGATTTCAGAAGCTCCCTCTTAAGCCAGGTGTGGTGGTGTGTGCTCCTAGACCCAGCTACTCAGGCGGGAGCTGAGGTGGGAGGATCACTTGGGCCCAAAGTTGGAGGCCAGCCTGGGCAACAAAGTGAGGCCTGTCTCCTTAAAAACAACAACAACAATTTTTCCTTGACCACTGTGCTTTCTGCTGCCCCTTTGTAGGGGTGGGGTAGGGTCAGAGTAAGCATGTGCATGAATAGGGAAAAGTTCTGGTGGTGGTTTGTTTTGTTTTTTGAGAGATGGGGGAGTCAACAGTGAACCTTTCTGGTTAAACAATGTACATAATTTCTATTATGAAATTTAGAAGGTTAAATACATTTTCTTTTTCAGGCCTACCTAGTTGATAGACCAAAAGCATATAGCAGAATAGCACAGTAAAAAAAAAGTAAAGGTGAATTTCTTTTTTTTTTTTTTTTTTTGAGATGGAGTTTCGCTCTTGTTACCCAGGCTGGAGTGCAATGGCGCCATCCCAGCTGACCGCAACCTCCGCCTCCTGGGTTCAGGCAATTCTGCTGCCTCAGCCTCCTGAGTAGCTGGGATTACAGACACGCGCCACCATGCCCAGCTAATTTTTTTTTTTTTTTGTATTTTTAGTAGAGACGGGGTTTCACCATGTTGACCAGGATGGTCTCGATCTCTTGACCTCGTGATCCACCCACCTCGGCCTCCCAAAGTCCTGGGATTACAGGCTTGGGCCACAGCGCCCGGCATAAAGGTGAATTTCTTATGGTCCAAATGGATGGTCACAATCCATAACCTTTCATAGTATAGGCTGGAATGGAATCTCTTGTTATCTTGCTTTGCTCTAAATTTTAGAGCTACATGAGCATGTTTGTCAAAAGATTATACAGAGCTATTTTCTTTGCTAAAGATGTAAACATTTGCACCCCGAATGGAACTTTTATCAGCTGGAAGTGAGCCTAAGGTGGCATATACTGAAATCATGTTTTAAAAATTAAGGTTGACTTAAGCATATACAAGGTTGTGTTTTCATTCTAACTAGAAATCATTTACTGTGCATACAGAACCTCATGCATCATGGCATTTGTGAATTATGGGCCTTGCTGAATTCAAGAATAAGGGAACCTGGTCATGTGTTTTAAATCAATACACTGTGAGCTCTTGCTTGCTTGACTCAAGTTGTTTGAGAATCTAAATAAAACAGGATCTCCTTGTCAGGAAACCTGGACATGTACGTTTAAGAAGGGAACGTGGAAGAGAGGGCAGGACATGAAACCAAAATAGCTGGCAGGGCAGGATCAGACGGCACCTGATTTTTGCACCAAAGTTATAAATAGGAACAAATAAAAACGAGGACCGCTTATGAGCCAACCTAGGAAAGACTTGCCAGAAAGTAGCAGCTCCTGCTGCAAATTACAGTGCCTTCAAAATGATTCTGTGTGAAATGCATGCAATTTCATGTAACCATAAAGTGTAACCTGTATGTGCATGACGTGTGTCTAGATGTGTAAAGTTAGGATTCAGCAGGAAGGGGCCTGGCCCTGTCACTGTGGCGGATCAGTAGACCTGCTGATGTCGTTGGATTTAATGTGACTTAGGTTTGCAGCATCAGACCCCTGTGTTTGCATTAAGCCGCCATATCGTTGAAATCGGATCCATCTCTCCCTCTCAGCTTTCTTTCCTACTTGGCAGCTTTGCTGGTTTTAACTGCTTCATTCTTCCGCTTCTTGGTATCCTTTCTTTTGAAATAAAAAGACGAAAGACTTCATTCAAAGGAGACTTGTATTTATTTTACCAGTTGCTCTTAATTTACCAAAGGTATACGAATGAAAAGAGATGCATTCCATAATGCAATGATTCTGACCTTAAAATACTCTCAGTTCTAGAAGCTTGAGGAGCAAGCATTCTCTGCTGGTCCTTCTGCATTTCAATTTGTCACTAAGGGTAGTGTTACACAATCCGCTGTCCTTTTCCTGAATGCTGCTCCTCTGTCTACGACGGAAAGCTTAGTGACCTCTTCATTGGAGACGTCCAAGGCCAGTGAACAACCTGTTTGTAAATGAACGAGCTGCATGCATGTGCTATTTTCCTCCAGGACCAAATGCCCTGTGCATTTTAGTATCAAGTGTACTTACTGCAGGAACCAGTACTGATATCACTGCAAAGTTACACAGTGGTGCGAGTGCTTTGGAGTTTTGAAGAGCTAAAGGCACACATAAGACTTGGTGTTCTCAGGCTGGGCATGGTGGCTCACATCTGTAATCCCAGCATTTGGGTGGCTGAGGTGAGCAGATTACTTGAGTCCAGGAGTTCAAGACCAGCCTGAGTGACATGGTAAAATCCCATCTCTTAAAAAAAAAAAAAAAAAAAGGCCAGGTGCAGTGGCTCACGCTAGTTATCCCAGCACTTTGGGAGGCCAAGGTGAGCAGATCGTGAAGTCAGGAGTTCGAGACCAGCCTGGCCAACATAGTGAAACCCCATCTCTACTAAAAATACAAAATTAGCGGGGTGTGGTGGTGCATACCTGTAATCTCAGCTACTCAGAAGGCTGAGGCAGGAGAATTGCTTGAACCCCAGAGGTGGAGGTTGCAGTTAGCCAAGATGGTGCCATTGTACTCCAGCCTGGATGACAGAGCAAGACTGTCTCAAAAAGAAAAAAAAGGACTTGTTCTCACTTTGTGACCTACCTGCTCCTCACTGGAGGTCCCTAGAGGCAGGAACCAGCACTGGTACCACTGAGAACATCTGAGAGTCTGTGGTTGGTGAGGAGCTTGCTGCCACATTGGTGTAAAGGGTGTGATCCTTTTAATGGCCACGCTTTTCTGTATGTCTTTGTTTTTCTTCTCTGATGTCAGGGAGGTGAAGAGAAGGCTCAGTTGACCCAGAGTAACTTGTCACTTTCTTTTTTGCCAGCCTCATTTCTAAATAGGCTGAATGTCTATTACCTCTCCTCTCCTTTTCAACTGAGAAACTCTTGATGTACAGAGGAATGGGGCTGTGGGAGAATGCATGCCACTGCAGTTATGGGCTGACCCAGCCGTCTGTATTCTTGGGTGTTTTCATTCCAGGCTGAATCCCAGTATGTTACAGCAGAAAGGCCAGACCCTAAGAGACTATGTGCTGAGAAGATCTGTGAAGCCCCTCAGTTCCCAGTAATGTTTGGAGCTTATTGTCACGAGATTGCTACCCTAGGCCTGGGCAGCGTGGGCAAGGACACTGCAGCACCTGGGCACTCTGGGGTTGTATTTTAGCCTTCTCTCCTCTCAGCTGTAAAGTGAGGAGTTTGGGTCTTCAAGGTCATTCCGGCTCCAGCCTCTGTGGTTTCAGTATGCTGGGGTACCTGGCTGCCATAGGTGGCCCGGCTGACAGCGACAGTATCATAGAGCATGAGATACCCTCTGTCACCGCACTGACAGCTGCAGACACTAGTGTGGAGGGGTTACATGGGTAAAGTTCCAGGCTTCTTTCTTTGAACAAGCTAAAAACCACTAAGGTGTCATTTTTCCTTGGCCACAGGCTTTCATGGCAAAGGCCTCTGGCTGAGGAGTAACAGCGTTGAACCGATCTTCATAGTGCAAAACCACTCCCGTGGGTAAAGGCATTGAAGATACATTCTTTTTAAAAGTAGCCTGGGGTATGACAGTGATGTCTATTTTTCTTGGATGATTCTAGCTCTAAGTCATCACTCCTGACCCCCAAGACAAACACGAGTCTGAGAAGCTGAAAGCTGCTGTGCAGTGTGTTGTATTGAGTTGGGCCTTTCCTGCCACGGCTCCTGTCGCAGCCAGCTGGGAAGCCGAGGTGAGCAAGCCTCCTGGGACAGATGGGGCCCCGCTGCTGGGGGCACTCAAACCCCACGAAGGGGCTGCTGTCTGGAGTCTCCACAGCTGGGACTGCCCACCACCTATTGCCTTTTTTTTTTTTTTTTTTTTTAACATTTTTTAAATTTTAGAGATGGGATCTGGCCATGTTGCCCAGGCTGGTCTCCAACTCCTGGGCTCAGTCCTCCCACCTCAGCCTCCCAAAATGCAGGATTACAGGTATGAGCCACCATGCTCAGCCTTAAAAAAGACTTCATTGAAGTAAAACGTATGGACAGAAAAGTGTAAGTATGCATACAGTTCACTGTCTTGACAAACTACACCCACTGCCCTGAAAACATTGTCAGGACCCCAGAAGCACCCTCGTGTTTCCTTCCAGGCACTCCCTCCCAGCGTGCCCCGCCTCCAGACTTCTGACCCCACGGGTCGCTGTGTGTGTGCTTCATGTAACGGAATCATGCTATTTTGTGCTTGGCTCCTTTCTCCCGGGATCGCCCGTGAGATCATCCCTAGCGTGTGTAGTGGTGGATTGTCTGTCCTCGTGATATCGTAGTTCCCGGCTTAGGGCTATTACGGGTAGTCCTGCTATGAATATTCTCGCATGTGTCTTTGGTGAACATATGGACGTGTTTCTTCTGGGTGTGTGACTAGGAATAGCGTTGGTGGGTCACAGCGTATGCCTGCGTTCAGCTTCAGTAGATCCTGACCCACTTCTCAACACGCGCCTCGCAGTGCTGGGAGCCATTTATGGGCATGTCAGCTGCGGGGCTGCCAGCCTCCCTCCATCGTAGCTCCCTTCTGTGAATGGCCCTACCGGCAGCACAGGGAACAATCCAATGAAAGAACCGAACCGGCCTTGGACGCTAACTCACTGCGGTCTCATTCTGTGTCGCTGCAACATAGGATTCAGTTTCCAGGACAACTTTCTTTCCCTCTTAACAAAACTCTTCATGTCTACATTCATTGTAAGCATTTACCTAGACAATAAGGCCTATTTTCCTCCAATAAGGTGAGTTTATATTCAATGAAATTAATTTTTTTTAGTTTATTTAAAATTGCTACCAACAGGTCGCAGATTTATGGATCGGACGTTTCTTCCTGACCTACAGATTATAAAATGATCTCACTTTCAGTGAGAGCACATACCCAAAGGCCAAGGAAGTGGCTGCCTTTTTAATTTTTCCATAAAAGATGTCCTCTCTGGTCTACCATGGTCTATTTCATTAAAAAGAAAAGAAAATAAAAAAAGATGTCCTTTAGAGAAATTCCCACAGCCCCATTTTGAGATGAAAATTTGCTTGATTTAAGGAGATGATTCTAATCTAGGGTATGAGATGGATGGTTAGATACAAATCTCCAGTGTTAACTGCCAATAATTTTTGGTACTATAAAAAAAGTGGCCAGGTGCGGTGGCTCACGCCTGTAATCCCAGCACTTCAGAAGGCCGAGGCGGGTGGCTCACCTGACGTCAGGAGTTCAAGGCCAGCCTGGCCAACATGGTGAAACCCCCGTCTCTGCTAAAAATACAAAAAATTAGCCAGGCGTGGTGGTGGGCTCCTGTAATCCCAGCTACTCTGGAGGTTGAGGCAGGAGAATTGCTTGAACCTGGAAGGCAAGGGTTGCAATGAGCTGAGATTGTGCCACTGCACTCCAGCCTGGGTAACAGGCTGAGACTCCATCTCAAAAAAACAAAAAAAGGTGTTTTTCTTTTTAAAAATCTAATTAGAGACGAGTTTGCTGTTGCCCAGGCTGATCTCAAGCAATCCTCACGTTCTGGCATCCCAAAGTGTTGGGATTACAGCCATTAGCCACTGTGACCAGCCAAAGATTATTTATTTATTTATTTAACTGGGAGCTGTTCAAGTCCCAAAGCCCTTTAGCTCTCCTAAGTTTTCCAAAAAAGGGGAAAAGACTTTTTCCACGTAATATAAATCCCACATGTGAGAGTGAGATTCTCTTGTGAACGTTGAGACGTGTTGGTCAGCAAGGCTCCAGCAGCTGTGAGTGTTCGCAGCAGGAGGAACTGGAAGTGGGGATCGTTCTCCCGTCCTCACTCAACACTTAACGGTACAGTGTCTTGGGTGTTTTCTTGAAACCTGGTGACGTGAACAAAGAATAAAAATAGCTGCTTGAAATGCCTCCAAATGAGCAAATGGCAGGGATTGTTGGAATTCCAAATTTCAGAGCTGCTTTCTGAAATCCTTGTGAATTAACATGGCAGGAGTGGGTACCGCACTGCACGGATGGGGCTGGACTGTAAACTCAAAAAGCTTTATTTTAAAGGAGTATTCAAAGGGCAAGGATTGGAGAACGATCAGAGTTCAGAATTTGTGGTGACCATAGAAATCATTAGCTCCAGCCCTGCCAGACGGCGACAGCTCAAAGAGGCAGCTCGTCAGAGCTGGTACCTCCTCCCCCCGCCCTGCCAGATCTCACTGCCTCAGACGGAGGAGGCTCTAAGTGTGGGGAGGATGGAGGGTAACTGGAATTCAGACAGGAACCAGTTCCAAGTAATTTGTAAATTATGTGAATGAGCTTGAAAAGATGATTTTACCCAAGGTGGTAGCTCAGCTTAACGTAGCTCAGCTCTCTTCCCATAATAACCCCCATCACAAATATACAAGGGCCTCAACACCCAAATAAGAATGGAATGATACACTTCCTTCCCTAGAATTGTAAGGTAAGGGAGAGGGAGAAGCAGTTACTTGCTTCTAAAATAGAGCCCTGGTGTCCCTAAGTCCATGTGTGTTTAGGGGGAGGTGGACAAGTACGAGATAAGTGAACAATTTGGCTTAGTTTACAAAACAAAAATTACAACGTGAGTGTAATACATTATACAGAATGATACAGAATGATGTCAGCTGCTTGGTGGTGATGGAGAAGTCAGTTCATCTGGAACTGACAGAAGACCTGGGCTTCAAGAATAAACAGGTGTCCTTGGGCATCA